CTAAACTCATCAAACATGTTCACTCTCTTCAGCTTCTTGGGCACATGTCCACTTGGCCCTGGTTGCTTCCTCTGCTCAGCTCTTATTCTCTTTAGTGCTTCCATAGTTCTCTTTGCTTCTTCATCTTCTTTTCTCTTCAGTGCTGCCTCTGCTTTAGCTGCCATTGCTTCAAGAGCTCTGGCCTCCTTCTCTTCTTGCAATGCAGCTTTAATTGCTGCTGCAGCTTCTAGCCTTGCTGCAGATTCCACAGCTTTCTTCTCCTGTGCTGCTCTTCTTCTTCTTCCTGACTTCTCTGCTTTCCTCCTTGTAATTTCTTGCCTTTTTGCTTCTACCTCCTCTGTTTTCTTCTCTGCCATCTCATTCATGGCCTCAAGTGCTGCATCTCTCCTGGCTGCCATCTGTCTTTCCTTCTCTCTTTTCATCTTCAGCAACTTCATGGTCTGGTTGCCTTCATTTGTAGCTATTGTTGTCTGTGCTGAAGTGTGAGAAGTTGCTGCCAGTGAAATGAATGATGAATTTGATAAAATGCTTTCAGTATCTTCTCTAGGAACATGACTGGATTGTTGCATCTTATCCAGCATTGTAAATCCAAAGTGCTGCACCTGTGCAAAACATTCATCACATGCTAGTATCAGTACAACAAAAAAGGAATGGGCCTGCAAAATACAACTAAAAAAAGGAAGGGACAAAAGTAGAGAATTTGCCTGAAAAACAAGTGGTGTATCTGCTCCATCATCTTGTGTGACAATGACCTCCTCATGTGTATCTTGGCCATCAACATGGACCTCCTCATTTGTAACTTGGCCATCAACATGGACATCCTCTTGTGTAACTTGACCATCATCTTGTGTGCCATGAACCTCCTCCTATGTACCTTGGCCATCAACTTGTTCATCATCTGACACATCATCAGGAATGGCCCTTGGACCCCTTCTTGTTGTTCTCCCTACTAGATTTGGCAAAATGTCAGCCTTTTTTTGATTACATCCTTTGATGTTGTGGCCTGATTCATGACAATATGAACATGTTATTATGATTCCATGTCTGCTCATCACCTTGGTTCCATCTTTGTTTTCAATCTCATAAGGCTGCTTTCTCCTACTCTTGTTTGAAGGCCTTCCTACTTTTTTTCATACACATGTGGCTTGATTTCACAACCATTCATCTTCTGCCACTCACTCCTATCTCTGCAAGGCTTGATAATGGGTTGGTATGCTAGCTTGAATGCTTCTATACTGTAACAGGAGTGCACCAAACTCTCAGGATCAATCCTCTCATGCTTGCAGCATGTAATTGCATGGTGACAAGGAACTCCACCAAGATCCCACCTTTTGCATGTACAACTTTCTTCCTTCATGTCAACAATGTATGACCTGATCCTGTTGTCAACCTGAAAGATGCCATCACCAGCCCCTGAAACCATGCATGTAGCTGACAGCTCTATATTCTTCTCATTTCTTTTCTGAATTTTTGGGCATATTGAGCCAGGCTAGGTCTCTGTCTCCTTTCTTTTATTGTAGAATCTGACCATGAGCTGAGTTTTGATCTTGTCAATCATTGATCTGAGATGCATCTCCCTAGCCTCAAGAATATATTTGTTGAAAACCTCACAGTTGTTGTTCAGAAGGATATCACACTTAACCAATTCTCTTTGGAAGCCCCTAACCCAAGTGTTGGGTGGTAGCTGCTCAAGCCATTTTTATGCTTCTAGGCTGATGGCCTTCATTTCCTCCATGCTTTCAGCCCAAAGTTCTGGTGTTGTGCTCCTTGCACACTTCCACAACTGGTTCTTAAGAACATCTCCTTTGTGTGTTTGCTGAAAATTCTGCCATATATGCCTAACACAGTGTATGTGCTCTACATCAGGAAAGTGCTGCCTCACTCCCTTGATCAGCCCCTTTTGCTTGTCTGACATTATGGTCCATGGCTTTGTGTTTACAATTCCCATGTCACTCTTCAGATTTGACAGAAACCATTTCCATGTGTTAGTGTTCTCTACCTCAACAACTGCAAAAGCTAGAGGGTAAATGCAGTCATTAGGATCCATGCCAACAACACACAGCATAACACCTCCATACTTTATCTTCAGGTGGCATCCATCCAAACAAATGACAGGCCTACAAGCTTGCATGAAACCCCTTTTGCAGGCATCCAGAGAGAAATAACAACTTCCAAATATGCCATCATTGACACCCACATAGAAAGAACTGCCTGGATTTGATCTTCTGAATTCTTGTGCATAATCCCACATGTTGTTGTACTGCTCCAGCTCATCTCCTTCAATGACTTTCTTCACTAGCCTCTTAGCCCTTCTCAGCTTGCTCCTTGTTGCTGTCATGTTCCAATCTTTCTGAACCACCCTTGCAAAAAAATTCATATTCATGTTTTCATCTGCTCTGAAAGAATTAACATATTTTTCAGCCATAAAAGGAGCAGGAATGACTTAACACACCATTTCTTTATGCATGTATGCTTTGGGTTGTATTTTTTTATCATGAAGCAGTTGTTTCTCCCATCAAATGATGCAGACAAGGTCCAAGGGCACCCATCTTCACAAATGGCATTGAGTCTTTTCCTACCATTTCTGGGGCATTTAATGTCAAATCTCTCCTGACAACTGTACTCTTTGATAGCTTTCCTCAGGAATTCAACAGAACCAAAGGTCTGGCCAACATGAAACTGTGGTTTAGTGAGATCTTCCTCTCTAAACTTTTGAAATTCAGCTTCACCTTATCTTCATCAGAAGAAGGCAGACACATATCCACATATTCAGTAGGATCATCATGTTCTTCTTGCAATGCTACAGCTTTACCTTTCTCACAATCAACATTTCTGGCAAATAATTCATCATCATCTTCAAGATCAATGTCTGAATCAACAAGCTGAGGATTGTATTCTTCATCTGAACCATGGATTACTAAATCACCAACTGCATCTGTTGCATCCATGTTCAAAAACCTACAGGATCTTCTGGCCCTAAACCCAAACTGAGATGAAAGGTAGGTAGTTCCTGGCTGGGGTGGACTTGGTATGAAATGATCTTCTTCTGACTCTGCTCCACTTTCTGACTCTGCTTCATCTAGCTCATGCTCTTGATCATGCTCATGCTCTTGATCATGATCATGCTCTTGATCATGATCATGCTCTTGATCATGCTCAGGCAGCTCCTGTTCCACTTGAGGCAGCTCAGCCTGCTCATGTTCCACTATAGTGAGCTCAGCCTGCTCCTCTTGCTGCTATTGTGGCTGCTCCTTTTGCTGCTGGTGTGCATTCTCCTTCTTGGGCCTAATGCCACTGAACCTGGCAACTAGAGGATCCTCATCATCAGAGTGAACAGGAACAGGAGAAATAAATGATCTCATGCTCTCATCATGATCAAGGAAAATTTGTTGGAAGTGGTTGCCATTTAGAGCACAATCCTTCATATTTTCTGTCATAGTGTTGTCCCCTAACTTAACCTCTCTTAATCCATTCTTGTAGACTGTCAACCCAGGAACACACCAATAAGCCCTGATCCTGCCCTCAAACTCATATCCAATTTCCTCCACTAGACTGGCCACAACATTAGGTGTCCAATTATCTATGTCACAGTAATCATACCAAATGGAGTGACCTTTGTGATAATCCCTATGCTTGCCAGCACATAGAAAGTAGCCACCATGTATGACCTCAACAGAGAAGTTGTTGCTTAAGGGTCCTACAAAACAATCAAGTTGAAAAAGTTCAGACATTTCAGACTACAGAGAGGTTCAGACAGTTCAGACATTCAGAGTTTTTTACCTTTTCAGAAAGAAAAACAGAGATTCATGGCTCCAATTAACAAATGTATGATCTTACAGGTCGTAAAGCAACCATTTTTGGTAAATCTGACCCAATGTAAAACAATTTTTGGTCCAATTAACACTCTGACAATAAAAGCAAACTTTACTGCTTAAACCCTAGACCCTTGG